TGGTCGCTGGCGCGGAGTTCGCAGACGTCCCGACCGGCCTCCATCCTACCTCGAAGGTTCCCGCGGCGGGCTGGGAGCAGCTCATGGCGTGCGTCGCGTTCGGGGAGCAGCCCCAGGACCAGTCAGCTGGACCGGGGCCGCAACAGGCGCTTTCGCGCACGCGGCCAGGGCGCCTGTCGACTTCGACTGGCGTGGATGTCGCGGACATCCCGTACGGCTTCGGCGCTATCATGGAGGCTCCCGCAGCGTGACCCGGGGCGCGTGCCGCGTGTTTTCCGTGGGCTAGTCCTCTGGCACTGTCGCGCGCCTGACGGCAGGGCTGGGCTGGAGTTGGCCTCCCCTCTTCCCACTCGCCATTCGGCGAGGCCTGCACTGGCAGGCGCCGCACTTGCGTGACCTCTATCTTCCTCCCCTCACCTTAGCGTCCGCGCTTCGCGCCTGTCGGGCAGGGCAGGGTTTCGGTCTGGACTTCGTCCGCCCCCGAGTTCTCGTCCTCTCGCTAGAACCTGAGCGCGCGCGGGGGGGCTCGTGGGGCGGCTTTCGTGTTTCGGCCTTGCTCGCAGGACTGTGCTTCGTCTGCGATCGTGCCGCGGCTACCCACGCTGCAGGCGCCTCTTCGCCGTCGTTGTTGTCGTCGTCCTCGTCGTCGTCGTCGTCGTCGTCGCCGTCGCCGTCGCCGTCGCCGTCGCCGTCGCCGTCGGCGCCGGTGTCCGGCCTGCCGGGCTTCCCTCGGCCTGCCGGTCTTCCCGATTGCCGTTTGATTCTCTTGGGGCCCCTCTGCGCCCGGAGGTAACCGTGACTCGCCCCCGGGCCCCCGGTGGTTTTCTGTCTCTCACTTTCGTGGGGGAGTTGTGACTCTGTCTGGCACCTCGCTTGTCCTCTTCCTCCGTCCCTCTCTTCCGGTTCGCGGGGCCTCTGTGCCTCTCCACGTTACTTGCAGGTTCGTGTTGTCCTTTTGCCCTGTGCTTTGAGGACACCTCCGGGGCCTCCGCGGACCTTCGAGCTCATGTGTGTGGTGCTTGCTTTCGTTTCCCGGCCGCGTGGCCGTTACCTTCGGGCTAGCAGCGCGAGGGCGTGTGTCTGTAGGTTCGCTCCCTTTCCAATCCGACGGGCTGGCCCCCCCCTTCGGAGGTGCCGGCTGTTGCGGGGCGCCGGCTGTTTCAGGGGCCCCCCCTCGTGCCACTGTTCGGATTCGTCTCCCAATTCTGTTTGGGCGCTGCGACCTTTTCGGCCACAGGCCAGCCGGCTTCGGTGCGTGGTGCAAGCTTTCGTGTCCAGGCCGAGTGGCCGAGAAAAAGCCCCGTTGTTTTTCCGCGCCCCCCTTTCGGCGGTGCCGGCTGTTGCGGGGCGCCGGCTGTTTCGGGGGCCCCCCTCGTGCCACCGTTCGGATTCGGCTCCCAATTCTGTCAGAGCGCTGCGACCTTTTCGGCCACAGGCCGGCCGGCTTCGGTGCGCGGTGTAAGCTATCGTGTCCAGGCCGAGTGGCCGAGAAAAAGTGACCCCCGATGTATTACCGTCGTGCCCCTCTTCCTCTTGCGTCTCAGCGTGCCTCGGATGCTTTCCCGCCACTTGGCGGCGCCTGCACTTGCAGGTTGGCCCCCGCAAAAGGCGAGGGGGGCGCACTTGCGACCATCGACCCGCTGCACGCCCGGCACTACAACTAAGTCTGCTACGTGATGTCGACCGTAGCTTGGGCTCGACTGCCAGCCCCCCTTGCGGCCTTGTCTCCCTCCCCCTCCTCCCGTCGTCGTCGCTGTCGTCGTCGTCCTTCTCCTCGTCCTCCTCGTCGTCCTCCTCCTCGTCCTCCTCCTCGTCCTCCTCCTCCTTCTCTTCCCCCTGGCGACTGGAAGGAAGCCGCGGGAGGGGCCTGCGTGTTATGTGATGCCCTGCTATGGGGTTGCCCCAGGGAAGGTGAATCTTCGGGCCCAACCAGACGGTCTGGGCGAACTAATCCTGCCCCCCCCCCCCCACCCCACACGCACAGCATAGTTTCGGCCACGTTCGCCGGACAGCCTTCGGCGCAGGAAGTGGCGTTGCCACCGCCCCCTACCCCTGAGCCGCCGCGCCGTTTCCGTAACACGACCGAGGTTGCGCACCGCGTCCGCGACACACACGCTGTCTTCGAATCCGGCCGTCCGCACTTGGTTTTACTTTGTTGCGCCCACCGCGGGCGGATGAACGTCCAGACCGTTATGCTCGGTCACCCTCTCTCCTCCTCCCTCCTCTCCCCTGCTCGTCCCTCACCTGGCTGCCCCCTCCCCGGGGCGTCGCCTCCCGCCGCCCTCCCCCCTCTCCCCTTTTCCCTCGCCTGGCTGGCGGTGGTGGAGCTGTGGCGGGGAGGGGGAAGACGACGAGGATCCCCGAGTCGATGCGGCCAGTTGGCAACGCGCGCACTTGCGCTCGCGCATTTGCGCTCCGCCATTTGGCGACGTGGCAGGCGCGGCCCCCAGGGGGCCCCTACACCTGTCTCGCACGAAGCGACACCCGGCCCCCGTGGGAGCGGGCACGCGCGCCGGGCATTTGCCCCACTGCCAGTGCCCTACTCGGGACTGCGCATGCCTGCCCTTTGCCCAGGGCTTCGGCACCAACGCGCCCCACTTGGGCGCGCCTCAACCAGAACCAGAACCAGGAGGAGGAAGAGGAGGAGAAGGAGGAGGGGGAGGAGGATGAGGAGGAGGAGGAGGAGGACGTCCGGGGGAGGGAGGAGCGGAGGGAGCACCGAGGAGGAGGAGAAGGAGGAGGGAGGAGGGAGGAGGGGGAGGGAGGAGGCGGAGGAGGATCTGTTTGCCGTCAACTGCTGCCAAGCTGCCCACATACACCCTGGGGGCCGGGCGATGCCACCCCAGGGGAAAAAGGAGAGGAGAAAACAAGCCGAGAGCACAGGAGCAGCGGCTCGTCTGAACCATGGTTCGCAGCGGGCGCCGCCGAACCGACAGAGGCCGCGAGAAAGGGATCAGCATCCTCCTCATCCTCATCTAGCCTGCGGATCTCCAGCTGGGCCTGGTCCCCAGGCTCGACCTGGCCTTTTGGCTCTACAACGCTGGGTCCAGCAAGGCTGGCTGCGCTGCGCAGCCGACGGCCGCCCTCCACCTGCAGACGAGAACGGAGGCGCGCCCCAGAGCACTGGCCCCCAGGTTCCACCAGGCACCCTGGCACAGGAGGAGGAGGAGGAGGAGGTCGATGTCCCTTTTCATGTTGCCGTCCGCGAGGTCTCTGTCTTTGTGGTACTTGTTGATGATTCGTTCGCGAGTCAAGAATCTCGCAATTTTGCCAGCGTCTATGAGATAACCGATATCTTCGCCAAGGTAGCATGCGCCACGGCCCCAGGCCCAGATAACATAACGGACGACCTCGCGAAGATAGCCCCGAAAGAAATGGCCAGGCACACGCATCCAATCATTACTAAGGCCGCTTGATAGTGCCGAGAGGGAGTTCCACACAAAGGTTCACGGATTACATATTCTTGGAAGGGTCAAAGTAGCGAAGCATCCCTCAGCAACCAGCGGTCTATCACACTAGCCAACACCGCTATCAAGCACCACTACAGATACATCAGACAATGCATGAAGGACCCGATGTTTAACATCTTCTTCAGCACGCAGACGTGGGGCAGACAGCACTACAGCACGGACTTCAACCACCTCACCATCCTATTATTTTTCGACATGGCGAAATGGAAAAGCTCGACCTTATACTCTTCATGCTCGACCTCAAGGCAACATTCCACAAAGTTATCAGCGCCCTCGTCTACAACATGCAGCACGACCTGGACGAGATAGAGGATATGATGGAGAATATCGGGACCACCCAGATCATGCACCCAGCCATGCGAGATGATTAGCAACAATGCGATCGACAACCAGCACGTGGGCAACGAGCATATCACCATTATGTTGGCAGCTGAGGCTTGGCTCGAGACCAGGAGTTCCTATGACCAACTTCACACTCGACGCTCTCGTGCTCGAAGTCACGAAGGAGTACCACCAGAAAGCATAACAGGAAGGCGCAGCAGTACTGATACCCAAAACATAGCGCATCCTACAAAACGATGAGGAGGAAAAAGAGCTTACGACAACATCCTTCGTCGACGACGTCAGAGTCGCAGCAACACCGACAACGGCGGAAAGATTGCGAAGATCGTACAGACCATGTGGGGCCATTTCATAAGAGCTACAATCACGCGCGGATTGCCGATAAACACCAGCTACTCGAGTTTGATTGTATTCGCGAATACACAGATGGGCAAGCGTGTAGCAAGAGAGATGATCATAAACAGAAAGAGCTTCACCAACATGGGCATGAAGGCTTCGATTACCAGGTCGACCAAGCTGTTGGGGGACAGGTTCAACGACAGAAATGACATGAGCCAGATGGTTGCATCGCGAACGATATCAATCAAAGAAGCTTGTGGGCATATGGGAAGAAAGCTGTTTGGACGACAAGCCAGATCCGCCGGCGCCTAAGTTCACTACTCGAAAGCGCTTGGGTATTCAAAATTGTGAGTTCACTGCTGGTACGCGGACACGATCGAAGGCTTTGGGATACGAACGAATCAACGTAGCATACGCGTCAGCAGCAAGGCAAGCAGTTGGCACTACCCACACAGAAATGAAAACGATGGCGACGACCAACATGGAGATTTTCACGGAGGCGAAGCTACCAAGTGTGGAGACACGGATGCGACAACCAAGACTTCGACAGCTTGTGCGCCTCAATACACAATGCCGAAGGGAGCTCCAAGCGCTAATAGACGAGAACAGCATCAAGTCAGGAGCGTGGGCAAACATGATCAACGAGGACATAGGCAAGAGAAACGAGCGCATCGAAGGTTGGGGGGATGCAACGAGGATCAAAAATATAGCCGAGTGGCTCGCATCCGCCCGAGAAGAAGCACGAGCTACAAAGAGCACAACAACACAACAACAGCCGCAACACGGAGAGCAATCGCGTGGACAGAAGATGAGGTACGATTTGCGAGATGGAGAGCGGAGCTGAAGCCGATATGCATAACAACAGCATTTCCGATATTCACTGACATCGAGACCATCAGCGACGAGCATCTCCAGAAACTCATGTGCTAGCAATGCGGAGCGAAGCTTGGAAGCAAAGCTGCATACACAAAGCTGGTTGAACGATACAGTCAACCGGCAGACGACATCGCCAACGTCGTGACGAGGACCATGTGCAAGGTATGCCTAAGAGACGACAACACACCGAACAGGCTCCCGAAACACGTCAAGGTGTCGAAGATACGCGCAGCAACGTGGCTCAACTCGCGAATATATCCCACAAGAGGCGAAGTAGGCAACAACAGAGAAGAGATCAACAGGATACGACGAACGAACAAGCACAATGGTTTACCCGAGGACTACGCCGAGATCTCGCATATACAACTCACAGGGCCATCAATCGGACCGATAATTCTGGAGGTCGACGGCTACGCGGCACCAATACCAGCAGCAGAACCCGCACATAACCAGGACGAAGAAGCTGAGCGCGAACCAAAACGACAGGACCGACAAAGAAGCTGCAGGAGCGCCCAACATCATACTCATCATGTCCGACACTTACGCGCTCAGCACCGAGAGGCTGAAGACGATCCGGGACGCCGCCAAGTCAAGTGGAGACAGTATAGAAGTCAAGATCAGCCCCGTCGGTGAGACAAGCGACAACACTACAGTGGAGAATGTCAAGCTTACCCGCGAGAAAGAAGTTTGCATATGGGATCACCAATATCAACACCGGCACCGTCATCAAGGACGAACACATGCGAAACGATTCGTCCCCATGGTGATAAGCCACAAGCCTGAAGGTGAGAGCAGCCTTCGACGCGATACGGGGGGCGATACTTATCGCATACACCAACATAGCCCGCTCGACAAAAATGCATCAGATACGACACGAACGTAAGACACACTTGGAGATACAAGAATACGAAAAAATGCATCAGCGAGGGGCGCACAGGACGAACTCCGAGACCATTTCAGGACTAGCCAACACCGAAGGAAGAAATAGAAACGCCAACGACATCACCATTGACAGCATCAAAAATAATACAAGATCGCTCCAGCATGCGACACGATGGCCCCGCATCGATCAGGGGGAGGCTGGCACCATCCTAGTGATGCCAAGTACGAGAACAGAGACGACCGCAACACAGCCCGTGACATGGGCACAGGAACAACGATTACGGCGGCGCCCCATCCGAGTCAGCGGCGAGCCCTGAGAACGAGCGGCTCACCGGGGACGCCTCTTCGGATGCCAACGGGGATGAGGTCGTCTTCCATTTCTAGCGATTGGCCCCGCGGCCGCGCGGTTCCGCCACCCGGCCTGGATTTGAGGCTTTCTTTGGATGGGCCCCGCTCCTCTCGTTCCTTTCCTCGAGCGCCCTTGAGGCTCCTCCGTCTTGCCTCTGCGGGGCCCTCTGGGGTTTTTCTTTTCGCCCTGCCAAGTGTCCCGTGGTGTCGGCCCCTCCCCGTCTCATCCTCTTTTGCCGTCCCTCTCTCGCTGCCGTATTCCTTTGCTGCTCTGGCCCGGGGGAGGGGCCGCCACATTGCATGCTCGCTTTGGCCCTCCCACCATCACCCCGGATCCGCTATAGTGCGACGGAGGTCGTCTTCCATAATTGGGGTGGTGGTCGGGGGGCTAAAGGACCCAGGCTCCAGGATTTGCCCTTCGGGCTTGCGTTGCCGCGCTCCTGTGGGCTTGGCGTCCCCTGCCAGTCCTTCTTTCCGAGGCCTCTGGAGGCACCGCGTCTCTCCTTCTTGGCGGGGGCGTCTTGGGTCCTGAGGCTTTCTGAGGCTCTCTTCTTTCCGAAGCGTCTCGAGGTCTCCGAACCTCGAGGACGAGGAGAGTGCCGAGCGTCGCGTCGCGCGGCGGGCGCGGCGCGGCGCGGGCTACGCGGACAGACCGCCGCGCCCGCATTGCGCGAGGAGGAGGAGGAGGAGGAGGAGGAGGAGGAGGAGGAGGAGGAGGAGGAGGAGGAGAGGGAGAGGAACAGAAGCGGAGAGAGGTGACGAAGCAAAACTAAAACCAAAAATGCGGGACCCAGGGTGACCCATAGGGGCCCTGGTGTTCCCGTGCCGTGCGATGCTCCAAACGCGGGGCGGTTCCGCGGGCGCGCGTCCACGATCGCGTGGCCGCCTGGGAGCGCGGCTCGTCGTCGACGGGGCGGGGTACCCTCGCAAGGCGAGGGAGGGATAGGCCCAGGGTTCCTCGGGCGTGCTCGGCGGTCCTCGGTGGTTTTCCAGCCTCGCGGTGCTCTGCAGCAGCGGCGCCCCGCCCAGGGTGTTATGCGGAGGAGGGGCCGGCATCGTCCCGAGCGGCCGCTGGAGGCCCGAGCTCTGACCCGCAGGCCAGGGACGCGACGTGGGCTCCCGGGGGAACGCATCGAGGCCCGATCGCCCAGTCACTGCCGACCTACTACTACTACTACTACTACTACTACTACTACTACTACTACTACTACTACTACTACTACTACTACTACTACTACTACTACTACTACTACTACTACTACTACTACTACTACTACTACTACTACTACTACTACTACTACTACTACTACTACTACTACTACTACTACTACTACTACTACTACTACTACTACTACTACTACTACTACTAGTACGACCTGTGCCCGACAGCCCACCCCGCCCAGGAGCGTGCGGTTTCGCCATCGGGGGCCGTCGCTGATCCGTCGGCGGTTGGATCGCCGATTCCAGGTCTCATTGTCTGCCTCCCCGAGCCAGTCCCCTCCTTGCAGCCCCCCTCAAACGTGAGGCAAAGCGGACGGGCCGCGGGATGCTGGCCGAAGGCCACTCGAGGCCAGTCCTCAGAGCCCTCCCAGCGCCCATCTAGGCCAGATTTTCGAGCCGCGACTGGTCGTGGCGACGACGACGACGACGACGACGACGACGACGACGACGACGACGACGACGACGCCGACGCCGACGCCGACGCCGACGCCGACGACGACGACGACGACGACGACGACGACGACGACGACGACGACGACGAGGCCGACGACGCTTGCGACGACGACGACAGCGACGGCGACGACGACGGCGACGGCGACTGACGCTGACGCTTACGAGGACGACGACGACGACGACGACGACGACGACGACGACGGCGACGACGACGACGACGATGACGGCGACGACGGCGACGACGGCGACGACGGCGGCGACGACGACGACGACGGCGACGGCGACGACGACGGCGACGGCGACGGCGACGGCGACGACGGCGACGACAGACGACCGACGTCGGGAGGCCTCCACAGGTCTCCAGGGGTCTCCGGATGTTCCCAGGGGCCCTTCGGAGGCCTCCAGAGGCCCAGGGGGGGGCACCAACGTGCCCGCGAATCTCGATCCTCTAGTCTCGATCCGCGCGCTCCCCTCCCACGACGACGATGACGAAGTGCTCGCCCAAGTGCCAAAGGAGGAGAAGAAGGAGGAGGGGGAGGAGCAGCCGGGTGAGGAGGAGAAGAGAGAGAGGGAGGGAGAGAGGGAGCCAGGAAGGGGGGCGAGGGAGGAAAGGAAGGAGAGGACCTGGCGGAGGAGGCCTTCGAAGGCCTCCCGAGGCTTTCGATGGCCAGAGGCTTCGAAAAGCCCTCGCTGGAACTTCGAGGGCCCTTCGGGGGCCCTTCGAAGGCTCCCGAAGGCGCTCGAGGGCCCTGCCCCGAAGCCGCGCCCGAGGTGGCGTCCGAGGGCGGCCGTGGCGTCGGCGCGGAGGCAGAGGCTGAGCGCGCCGCCAGGGAGAGTGCGGAGGACCCCTCGCGGCACGCGCGCGGCGGGGGGAGAGGGGAGGGGGGGGGGCCGAGGCCTGGGGGCCGGGGCGGCGGAGCACCCGCTGATGTTTCCTCGAGTAGTTCCCCTGAGGTGCCGAACGACGCTAGAGCGATGCGCAGGGGTGCCAGGATGCCAGGCGGCACGGAAAGAAGCGCTCGTTTCCTGTGTTGGAGTTCGCGCGCCTGTGGACAGCGTTCGGGCCGTGGTGGCAGCGAAATCCGGCCCGCGACGAAAAAATGTCCCCGGGATGGGGCCAAGAGCCCAAGGGCCCACGTCGTGAGGGGATGTACGGGTTTGGTTCGGGCCCCGTTAGTGCAGCTTTGCTCGTATCCTCGCTGCCTTGCGCCCACTGTGGACGGTGCCGCTTGAGAGTCTCGATTGCTTGTGGAAGCCATCAGAATTAGACGAAGGCGATGGAGGAGGAGGAGGAGCAGCAGCAGCAGCAGCAGGAGCAGAAGCAGCAGCAGCAGCATCTTCACAAGCAGGAGTACGGCGATGGTGACGTGGAGAAGTGGGATAAAGTGAAGAACCAGATGAAGAAACGAGAAGTAACAGGGGGAAGAAAAAGTAAAAGCGCACATGGTTCTCGATCGACTATCGATTCCACAGCGTCGCTATTGTGCAGGTCTGTCCACCTTAGAATGACAGGCCATTCGCTTCCACGCACCCTCCCCCCCATGGCTGTGGGGTACGAAACGATGGTGGTGCCGCAGCTTGGCGCGCGCAAGACAGGGGAAGCGGGGGCACGAAAGAGAGGGAGATTCGAGTCCGCAGTTGAGTCGCTTGGGAGGAGAAGAACGAGGTGCTGGCGCAGAAGGTGCAGAAGCTGCAACGCGTCTACGCCGCACAACAGGTACTGATCCAACGGCTACGAGAGGACGTACTTCCCCCATGCCAGTGGAGAATAGCATAACGAGACAGAAGGGACATCAGTGACAGTCGATGACGACGATACATGTTATAACTTACAGCCACTGGGTCGTCGAGGTGGTCGACGCGGTCGCTGTTGACAAATGCAACACCTCGAAGCTGAAATTCCGGTGATTGTCGGAATGTCGGCCTCTAATGTACTGAACTCGTGTGGGTTTGGTCAGGTTGTGTGCTCCGCAAGAGTGAAGGCAAGAACAATTCGAGGGATGCGGGATCACCATCACAAAGAAAGACGGGAGCAACGAGGGGGAGGAGGGCGTGAATGATTACCCCTATAAAGCCAATGTTCGGGTTATGACGTGGCTGGGAGGATGGGTGCAGTCGATTCACTTCGCGTCGGATTGGCGCGATATATGGTTTTCTAACCCTACATATTTTCCCAAATAGCTTGCTGAACGGGGTGCTGTTGTGGTAAAAACTAGCTCTGGCCGAGGAACGGCCCAGCAGAGACATCCTCAAAAAAATGTGGTGGTCCAGGGCCGTTGCGTCTACGACATCCTCGCAATTCTACGCTCCGAGCTGCCGCGTGCGAGGTAATCCGGCGCGTTTCGCTTGAGACTTCCGCGCAATTCTGAGCTCCGAGCTGACGCGCGAGAGGTGGTCTGGTGCGTTTCGCTTGAGACATCCTCGCATCCCTGGGCTCCGAGGTGCTGTGCGAGAGGTGGTCCAGCTCGTTTCGCCTGGAACATCCTTGCAGCTCTGAGCTCTGAGAATATTTGCGCAAGGTGGTCTGGCCCGCTTCGCTTGAGCTATCCTAGCAGTTCGGGGCTCCGAGATGCTGCGGGCGATGTGGTCTGGCCCGTTTCGCCTGGGACATCCTCGAAAGCCTGGGCTCCGAGAGGGAGGAGACAGGAGGGAGGAGGGGCCAGACCCAAACGAATCATTTGATTATTCGTCTGTTGTCAAATTGTGCTCTGGGAGGGGTCTGGGCGCCGCCTGAGACATCCTCGCAACTCTGAGCTCCCAGATGTCGCTCGCGAGGTGGTCCAGCTCGTTTCGCCTGAGACATCCTCGCAATGCGGAGCTCCGAGATGCTGCACGTTAGGTGGTCCGACCCGGTTCGCCTGAGACATCCTCGCAAATGCGGGCTCCTTCAAGATGTGCGCGAGGTGGCTTCGCCTGAAACATCCTCGCAACTCCTGGGCTCTCAGAAGATGTGGTCGGGCGCGCCTCGCTGAAGGCATCCTCGCAACTCGGGCCCCCGCTAGGCCGCGCCAGAGGTCGAGAGAGAGGGGAGAGGAGCAAGGAGGGGTCAGACCCAAACAACCCATTTGATTACACTTAAGTCGGGCCTGTCCCTCTACAGGGGGAATATTCAAAAATACCCCCCAAAAAAAGTCTGAGGACTACTTCTTGAGTATTCTTTGGCCATTTTGGATCGTTGTTTGAGTATTCTTTATTTTTCACCGAAAACCCCCCTGTAGGGGGGCACGCCCGACCTAAGATTACACTTCTGCGTTCGAGTCGTGCCCGGGGAGAGGCCCGGGCGCCTCTGGCCCTACGGCAGACGGCCAGGGGCGAGAGCACGCGTCCTCGGCAAACTGCAGGGTCCTCTCGGGGGGGAGCCGTGCTGGAGCAGATCGCGGAGGTGCCCCGAGCGAGGGCGCGGCGAGCTGGGAGGAGGCAGGATGGGTCCTCCTCCTCCTCCTCCTCCTCCTCCTCCTCCTCCTCCTCCTCCTCGAGGAGATCGGGGGCGGAAAAGAGGGGGGTGATGACTAGGGGGGGGATGTCATGGCGTGGGCCAGAATATTTCCCCAGATTTCATGGCGCCTCTTCTTGTTTCATTACGTCCCTGCCCCCCCCGCCGGGCCGCGCACATGCCGCTGGTCATGATTTGCACCCCCCCCCTCTTGGATACCCCCATCTTGGCCGCTCCCGAGGAGAAAGGGAGAAGGAAAGAGCTCCGAGATGCTGCGCGGGAGGAATAATGGAGGAGGGAGCCGGGACCAGGCTCAAACGCGACTTGTGTGAGGGCATCCTTGACGAGGGTGCTTGGAGGAGGCGGCACCGGGAGTGCGAAGGCATCCCTGGCATATCGGAGGGAGCGGAGAAGAAGGGGAAAGAAGAGGAGGAGGAGGAGGAGCAGCAGGAGGAGCAGGAGGAAGAGAAGGAGAAGGAAGAGGAGGAGGAAAGATGCGAGGACGAGGACGCGAAGGCGGAGGAGGAGGGGGAGGGGGAGGAGGAGGAGCACTGCGAAGCGACATCCCTGGACCGGACGCCCCGACGGGGGACCCAGGGAGAAAGCCCACTACGTCCAGAGGCAATGGGTGAGGCAGTGCTTCTGTCCTGGAGCCAGGGCCCTGGGCCGTGGTGGAGGTACCAGGTCTGGAGACTCGCCTTGTTTTCCCCCTAGACGTCCTGGGCCCCTGGACCCTCAAGATGGAACACCGGCTCAGCGGCTCAGAACCTCCGGCGGACGCCCAGGAGGTAACCCCCGGAGGCGTACCAAGCTCTCGTGGATGGGACCCGCGACGGGGGAACCTCGCTCACCTTGCGGGAGCGCTGCCTCCTCGCGGGGGGACTCCCCCGACTTTTCAAACCGCATGATTCCGCCCGTCTGCTGGGCCTCGACACCCAGCACCTGGGGGACGTGGGGAAGCAAGCGGGGGGCCCTTGACGCAGCGGGCCCTCTACCGGGACGACCTGCCAGAGGGGGGGCCCGCCACGTGGGAAGCTCTCCTGAGGTTTGCCCAGGCGGCCAGGAGGGAACGCCGAGCCAGGGGCCCACTGACGGAGGAGGCCAATTCGCCGGAGCTGGATCGATTCCTACAGTGTTGGACCGAGTCGGGACATCGCGAGGGGGCCCCTCAGGCAAGCGGCTTGCGCCGCTCGAGCTGGCTAACCCAGAGAATGCCCAGGGAAGGGTGCACGAGCAAGCGGAGCGATCCCTTGGGAAGCCGACAGTTATCCTTCATATGCGCGCGCAGCTCGAAGAAGTGGTGCGTCACACCCGAAAAGGAGACCCCTGGCGGGGAAGGGGGGGCGCGGCGCTCGGGTTGCCCCTGGTCCGGAGGCAACCCGCGCTAGAGGGCGGGGCAGCCGGCGCCCAGAACCGGACCTCTGTCCAGAGAACGCCCCCATGGAGGTTGCCACCCCGGAGCGTCACGCCCCCGGCAAGTCCAAGGCGAGGGCACCCCCTCCCCCTGGGCTCTGGCCACGCGGGGGCCCTCCTTGCCTTCGCGGAGGGAGGTTGTGAAAGCCTTCCTCGGACAGGCGAACCTGGAAGAGGCCGGGAAGGGCTGCCTGGGGCTCCTCCACGGGGAGGCCCGCTTCCTAGTTCACCTGGCCCGGGATTGCGACACCTTTCGGGTCCAGGCGGGCCGTCGGGAAGGAAATCTGCACGCTTCTGCGGGGCCAGAGCCGATGCGCCGCCGCTGAGCTAAGCGTCGCAGGGCGGCCCGTTGCCCTATCCAACCGAAGAGCTTACGCCCTTGCAGCAGGGCTGTTCGGGCAGGACCCGGGCGCCCCTCAGGAGGACGAGTCCCTCACGGGTGCCGACTTCCAACCCCCTACCGAGGCCTCGGTGCTGGAGCTCGCCCCACCGAGTGGGCACCACCGAGAGCGCGCCCCGGAAACCCCCGCCACCTTCGCCGAATGGGCGAGAGCGGCCAAGGCCCAGATCTGAGCCTTCTCCTCAGTGTATGGGCAGGAACACCATAGGGCCCGAGCCCGGACCCTAACACTGGCCGACACACCAGCAAAGCAACCCCTGGTATAGGCGAAGGCCCCCTCCAAGCCGCACGAGAGCGCGCGCGGGCACATAGATGAAGCCATGGAGAAGCTGTGGAAGGGCGCCCGGAGGGGTAGGGCGCTGCTCTGTGGAAAAGGATACGAGCCCCACCTCACCTGAAGGAGGCCAGCTCGCCCCCTTGGGGAAGGGGCCCCCCAAATGAACCCAGACCGAACGACATCGGAGGAGGGGCGCTTCATCCACGACCAGCGAGCCATGAACGAAACGGGGCAAAAATACCTGCACCCCCCGGCTCTCCAACCCTGGCACAGGGGCCCGTTGAGGGAGATCCTCTGGTGGAAGAGCCGGCATCCGGGAGCGAAGGCGGTGATCGCCAAGCGGGACATTGCCGAGGCCTTTCGGTGGATCTGGCTGAAGACGCAGGACACCGGGATGTTCGCAACGGAGCTCCCCGGAAAGGCGGCCGGAATGGAGGGGAATTTGGCGGCCATCTACTTGGTCCTGACGTTCGATTGGATAGGCAGCTGGGGGCGGCACATGGCCTTCGGAACTGCCCTGAAGCAGCACCACGACCGCCAACGGGCCGGAAAACCCGGGACGGCATGACGAGGACCCCCCCACCAGTCGCAGTTCTTGCTGGATGCTAAGGCGGCGCCCTTGGATGGCCGGGAGATTGGCCGAGGAGGGCGCCCGTCTGGCATTCGGACTCCTCGCGATCAACGCAGAAAACAAGGCTGCGGAGGGAGATTTTGCAGTCGACCAGATGTGTTGGGGGATCCACGTCAACGCCGAGGAGGAGTCGCCACGGCCCCTGGAGGAGAAGGCAAACAAGATTAGGGTGCTCCTCCGCGATCCGGCCTACGACACGGAAAACACCCAGGCTGCCCTAAGGGGTGCCCAGGTATTTCGAGGAGCCCTTAATTCTGCGAGGATCACATGCCCCCCGCTCTTACCCGAGCTAGGAGCGTTGGATCGGCGAATACTCCGCGCCTCGGACCCCCCGCACGACGGTAGAGGTCGAGGCCCAGACCCCGAGGAAACGGGCAGGCCGCGGGAAGAGCGGCGGGAGGCTTCGGAAACCTTCCGGCTCTACGCCGAGGAGCCCCAAGCGTGGACGGCCTTCTTCGCCGCCCGCTTGAAGTCGGCACTCTACCCGCGCGAGCGGATGGCCCTCCCGGGGGGGAGCGGAAGAGTTGGTCTGGACCAGCGGAGACGCGACCGAAGACCGAGCGGGCGCGGCAGATTGAATGGGGGGGCCCATGGAGCCACGGAGGTCAGGGAGGCGATGGGACCATTCAAAGACAAGTTCGGGGGGGGAGACGGCATCATCGCCAGCTGCGAGTTGCTCACCCTCCCAGTGCTTGCGGCGGCCCAGGCGCCTCACTGGAAGGGGAAGCCGGTGGTCTACGCCACGGGCAACGTCAACGCAGAGGCTTGGCTGCTCAAGAGGGTGGCCAAGAACCGAATTGCAAGGCACGGGCTCAGGCCCCTCCAGCTCCTGGAGGCGAGGCGCGGGTTTCACGTCACCGCGGCGGGGGGCATGGACTAAGCTCAACCACGGCATGGACCTCGTTTCCGGCTCGGTCTCGAAGAACTCGACCTCAAGTCCCCCTGGGGGGAGATCCTACAAGGGTTCACCCGGGGAAGGCCGCTCGTCTTGCCGGGAGATTCGGAGACCCGGCGGAAGGCAGCCTTCCAGCTGATAGCGCGCAGGAATGCCCCCCAGCCTTGCACCCGCCTTTGGGATGGGGCCAGACTGATGGAGTTCACGGCCACGATGGCCCCCCACTGCCTGGCAGCTGAAGAGATGGGGGCAGGATTTGACGCCGCGCGCCCGGGCCCGAAGGCGGCGGCACACCGCGACGGATGGGAAGCCCGCGCCCTCGCCCCCCAGGCCTGGCATGCCGACCGGGCCCGGACAGCCGCGCGGGGGACCTGGGTGAGGCTGGAGGAAGCCTACCTGGCCAAGTTCACGTTTGCCCACGAGGCCACTCTGGTCGCGGTAGACGGGCCCCCAGAGGCAGGTTTGGGCCGCGCCGGGGTGGCCCTGGAGGGCGCGGGTTGCCGCGCAGCCGAGAGCGCGATCTATGCCCACCACCATGGAGACCGTTGCGCCAAGGCCTGCGCCTTGCCGGCTGCCTGGAAGGGAGACCAGGGATGGGGGCCCCGTCTGACTCCTCAACCGGCTGGGGCGGTCTCGCCGCATGCGCCCCGGCGCCCGGCAAGGGGCCCTCCTCCCCTTGGAGGCCCTACCCTTGGAGTTCGATCTGGAGAAATGGGAAGGACGGATCACGCGGGGAGGGTTGCAGGCCCCAGGCTGGAACTCTGGTGCGCGGAACCCCCCCCCGCCCCTCGCGGCCGGAACCCCCAGGCAAACGGGGCCGCGCACGGAGGAGACGGGGCACGTTCCGATTCTCAGCCAGAACAGCCCCGGGCCCGACAGGCCCCTCACCCATTTGTGGAGGAGGCCCGAGGAGGGCCCTTCCTTGGCCAGCCGGGTCAGGGCTTTGCTTTCTCGCCTTCATGGAGAGGAGCCACTGTTTCCAACCTGTGGCGCACGTGGTCCACGTGTCCTTTGCAAGGTTCCAGAAGATGTAGCCATCCTGGACCGCTTCTCTCATCTCCGTGAGGCGCCCCCCCCCTTTCTAAGGCTGGGCCCCCCCCTCCTCCGTGGGCGCGGGGCCCGGGATTGCGGGCTCGCCGCGCCGCCGTGGAGGGAGGTTTACGACTCGGAGCTCATGCTCCTCATCAAGCGCCCAGCGCTGCCGTCTTTGGGCCTCTCGGGGGTTCAGAACTCGCCTCCAGCTCCTTCTTTGACCATCCTGAGGTTCCCCGCCCCCGCACGTGCTCCCCCGCTTGTGCGCTGCCCGAGTGGGTCCGGTTCACCGCCCCCCGCCCGGGCCCCCCTCGCTTCGCGCAGCCACATGTCGAATGCGGTGCGGGGATCTGCGGGTTTCCTTCCAGGCCCTGAACCAGACGGCGTTCGCGTCGGCCATGGACTCCTCGTCGCGGCCCTTGCAGGCGCTGGCGCGCTCGCCTCCCGTCCCTTCCCCTGCCTGGGAGGGTGGAGGAAGCCCAGAGGATCTGATGGGCCGTGCCGGGGGGGATCGAGCGGGCCGCTCCCGTGAGGAGCGCCCCGGCGACATCTCTCTTCTGGTCCCTCTGGCAATCTGCCGCGCCTCATTCAGCCAGGTCATGCCATCTGGCGTGGACCCCCCGCGGGCGAAGGGCGGACGAGGATCTACTCTTGGGTTGGATCGTTCACCTCGCCCACGCCCAGAAGAGGTCGGAGGGGGCCACGCGAGGAAAGTTGATGGCGGCTGGCCACTACCACGCGGCAGCCGGGCACCCTGACCCCTTGGAATTGGCACTGCGCCTCTAGGTGGCGCTGGGAGGGCTGAAGAGGATGGGGGCCAAGCAGACCCGCTATTACCTGGTGACGGTGGAGATGCTGCACCGGCCACGGAAGAGGCTGGCAACGGGGAAGGTCGGGGACGCGGCAAGTTTGGCCGCCATCTCGGTGGCCTTCTTCATGCTCCGCGCCTCAGAGTGCCTGGCTGACCCGACGACGCCGCAGGCGGAGGCCAGGGTCCTGTTCGGGGGCGATGTCACCCCGAGGAGGGAGGGCGCCCTCTGGAGCACGTTCGCGGGAGCGGACGAAGTAGTGATTCATATAAAAGGGAGCAACACGGACCAGAACATCTTCGGCTGCCGCAGGAACCACTACGCCACCATCAATGACCTGTGCCCGGCGGGGGCCCTAGCCGAGCTGGGGCGCCTGGTCCCGCAGCAGTGGACTCTGGAAGGGGGGTGCCCCCCTCTTTCGCGGCGAGGGGGGGAGCCCGATCAGGAGGCAGGACGCGAAGGCGCCACTGGACCAAGCCGCGGCGGCGGCAGGGATCCACCCGTCACGCACCGGAGGTGCCACCGCAGTGTATTTCGCTGTCCCAGACCTGAAGCAGCAGAAGAGGTCTGGGAGGTGGAAGTCTAGCGCCGACCACCCGCACCTACAGGAGGCGCACGAGCCCCAGAAGGGCCTGGCCGAGGCAACGTCGGCGCAGAACTACCAGCTCACCCTAGGGAGCGCAGATAAGAGGAGGGAAGCGGAAGGGAACGAGAGCACCAGGAAGGTGCAGTTTTCCCAAGCGCCCCCCGAGGAGTACCCCCCGGGAGAGTCCTAGGGGCGCAGCTGGCAGGAGCCAGGCGGGATTGATCTCGGCCAGAAGGCAAGGAGGGTTCCACTAGGGAGAAGGGCCCCTCCAACGCAAAACGCGCGACGTGCACCGTTTTAAGTGGAACCCCCAGCCCCAGCCGCCCTGCGGGGTCGCTCGAGGGTCGGGTTATTGTGGCAGGGTGTGCCGCTTCACCCTAGAATCCCTCCCGCAAGCCGCGGGGCGGCAGGCTGGAGGGTGGAAGCATAGAGGCCAGCCCAAGAGTGGTGGCCAAGCCCCCCTTAGCGTGGGACGGGAGGGAGGACCCTGTGACGGGGTAGTGATGTCGTGGGCGGCCTGCCTGCGGCTGAACCCCAGCTCTTCGCCACGAAAAAGGGCACTTTCCTCCTTATCCTCTGATGGTGCAGGGATGCAAGCGAGAGGGGTATGCTTTTGTTGGTGCGTAGCTGTAACTTTTGGATTCCCCGTGTCAGGTCTGCATTTCGCCTCTCTCTCTCTCTCTCTCTCTCTCCTCCTCTTCCATCCTGCAGCCTTTTCGACGTGCGCTGCAAGTTTCCTCCCTGCCACACTACAATTTTTATCCCACCCGTCAATGAACGGGTGGGGCGGCTTGCTTGCGGCTGAAACCCACCTTTTCGCCACGAAAAGAGGTATTTTCCCTCCCTATCCTCTGATAGTATAGGATGTAAGCGAGGGGAATATAATTGTACATGTACGTACACACATACACTCTCGAATGCATGCACGCGTATACAAACACCTGTGGATATTTAGATATATACACATAAACACGTGTGTACACACGCGTGTGCCCATGGAGACGAGGCCTGGGGCCCCAGCATTTCTGCCGTCACCCTTTTGGGGTAACCAGAGCCCTTTGGAGGGGGCCCAGCGTCCCCGTCAGCGTCCCCCTAGAGGTTCTGGGCTCCCAGAGGCTTCTGCGGTGCCCCCAGAGGATGACAAGAGAAGCCGCCAGGACGGACTAAAGGGAAAAGGGAGGCAGAGGCGTGGGAGCGAGTGGGGGCGATGATTCCCGATCTGCCGCGCAGCAGTTGCTTCAAGCACCCTCGTCGCGCCTTTGCGCCCACACCTGCCTTGAGGAGTGCAGCGGAAGAAATTCGGCGAAAGGATGTCGGAATATTGTTGCAGGGCCTCTTCCCCTTGAGCGGATCAAGGCGTCGATCGGGTGAAGGTAAGGCACCGGGCGGAGAGAGGAACAGGAGGAGCAGCCGCAGTTTTAGCAGCACAGAGGGGCCGCCAGAAAGGATCTCACGAAGGAACAGAGCAACCTCGAGCAGAAAGAGCTGCAACTTGAGGCCGAGCTTCGTCGCAGACACCACCTCAAGGGTGTGATGCGGTGGCCGTGGGCTTAGAAAATTTACTGCCTCAGCTGAGTGCCTGCGGGAGAATACGGATGAGCCCAAGCCCACCCATTAATGAGTCGTTGAACTCCCACTCGGCAGGTGCCCTCTTTCCCAGAGGGCCTGGGTCGCGGTACGACTCAGAGTCAGCTCTCTTCCCCCCGAGTTCTAAGAATCCCCCTACCCATTGTCCGCACAAGCTCTGCAAAAGCATGGTTCTGCACAAACCCATGTGCAGCAGCACTGTGGCCCTCTGAAGGCACGCTTTGGTGCTTCAGGATACGCTTGGTGTTTCAAGCTACGCCCCAATAGTGCTCAAGCAGGAGCAATCAAAATCGAGACCACGCCATTGCTATCGGGGTCTGGGCTAGCGCACCGCACCACCATGCAGCCACAGCATCAGATTCGCGCTGTAACTGCAGGGGGTCCCACGAGCCCGATCGCGCTGCTCGCATTCGGATTGCATGCATACGCGCACACCGAGTGGTAACAGCTAATGTAGCGTGGCGCATGCCTAGCAGGGAGCCATCGTACGATATGAGTTGGTGGCTTATCTCACCAGAGTCATCAGGCCTCCTGTCGCTGATGGTAAGAGTTATGCGTCACGTTGCATTGGTATTGGGACGTTTGACGGTCAAGCCCATGCCCTACAGAGCTATATTGTTTCAGTTTAGCGTATGATTAGCCGTGCATGCTTTGTGCCAATACATGCGGTAGGCTATGTACCGCTACACGTGGCATTGGCTTCGTTTTGAGGGCCGGTCGCTGCCCGGGTGAAGTTGAACGTTCTTGAGTGGCAGCAGCGACTGATCAGTTCGATCATGAATATACCCCCAGCAGCATGGTAATAGGGTAGAAGCAAACACGTTTTCGGGTTTCTGTTGTCGTCCCCTCAGGCAGTGCTCCGACGACATGATCGCGGCGGCGATGGGTCTGACAGCGAGGATCGGGGGTGACAAATGGGCATCAGGGGATCAGCACTGTGGATTCTTGGAAAGGCCTTACGGCCCGTTCCGCTGACCCTGAATGGGGATCAGGCGGCGCCGGGATGGCCGCGAGGGAGCCGAGGAGCGCACGACGGAAGGCCGACGTTTTATCCCAGAATGGGTTAAAGGTCATTTCGAGACTGGAGAGGAGGCAGAATACCGTGCCTGGGTCGTTGGCAAGGGGATTCTCAGAGGCTTCTCGGGGTGGATGACTCTCGGGAGCTTCCTGGAGACGTTTTTGAAGCTCGTTGGGGGCGCCTTGGGGTCTCAATGAACCTCTTGGGGGGGGGGCGGCTTGAGGTCCTTGGGAGGCACCGTGGCCAATTAGAGCTGCCTGTGGGCCGTCATGGGACCTCTTGGACGCATGCTGAAGGCCATTTGAACCCAACTTGACCCATGTGGCGCCATCTTGGAGGCCAAAGAGCCCCAACATCGCTGGAAGCACTCAGAAGCATGGGGTGGGAGTGTACACCCCAACAGGTCCCCTTCCCCCACCCCCAGCGATGGAAAGGATCAAAGGAAAGGGGAAGAAAGGGGCTTTTTTAGACTTGGTCACGACGTTTCTCGATGTTCATTGGGTTGACGAGCATAGAGAAATCCCAACGGGAGCCGATTCGCTTTGGGTTGACGCGCGTGGAGATGTCCGCAAGGTAGCCATAGTGAAACATGGGAAGAGTTTAAAATCTTCACTGGAGCTCGATGAGAGGCCGTCATCCCTCACACACGCTGACAGTGTCAGCGGATTGCCCTGTAGATGCCGAGAAGTGAACTCCAGAGTTCTGAGAGACTCAGATGACGACAAGGCTGTCGCCTGCAGCTGCACCTCGCCGAGATGTCAAGACAGGCTATACTTTGACACACATCAGCGACGTGTTGTCTGGACTGCAGCTGCAAGAAGGTATAGCAACGGGATCGTGGATGTCATACGCAAAGCCAAAGTACAAGGGATCCGGTCTAAACTAGGCGCGCATGCATCGAATACCATGAACTGATCTGGGCCAGGTGGAATTGCCCGCACTGTATCAAAATGCCAGGACACGACATTGAAAGTTGGCTACGGCATAATTGCTTGATTTCTCCAACCATACAAGTATCCGTTCCTTGGCGGGTCCGCGTGTGCCCGTTGGATCTGACAGCTGAGAAGCTTCAACGTCCGTTTGTAATCGCGGGGAGTGTGTTCAGTTCGTACGACTTATTTCCGTGTCTGCACTCGGTCAAGCGCGTCGTAGGTGTTAGTTTCTTCGTTATAATGATTGCTCAGTTGTCTTTAATGTGGTTCCTTGTTGGCCGCAGTCGGCCGTCCCCCTTCGGTGCCCTATGGTTGGTGCCGTTCGGTTGCCTGTCATGGGAAGCCCTCTGTCGGATCTTGCTTCGCTTCGTGCACGAGCCAGGGCACGCGTGCCACTTGTTTCCTAGATTCCCTGGCCCACCGCTCCCACAAGTGCGGCGCTCGTCGCTCGAGTTGTTCGGCGCCCCGTTGTGCACTTGAATGGCTTGCACCAGTCCCCAACCCCAACCCCACGAACGCACCAGCTCATCATCCTGTATGTTCTGGCCCTGGCAGGAAGCCTGATCCACGACGGCGTGCCGACGCTCCTCCAGGATCTTTGTCCGCGGAGGGTAGCCCTGTGAGTGACCGCAGACAGCTCAGCGAGTCATTGTCTTCTCCGCTCCCGGTTGTGGCGCAGCTGCCTCCCATCGAGGCCAAGAGAGGAGCGATGTGAGTTTGCGGTGTTTCTCGCGCGGACGGTTTTCCACCTGGACCCCGTGCGTTTTTCTTTAGAGAGTCGTGTAAGTTATGCAGGTGCTTGCGGCAATTCCCGCCACCATGCCAGCGCAGCATCGGCACGCATTCAGGATAGTTATGATTCTCCCAAACGGTTCGGTAGAATCAATTTGATGCCGTTTGGGACGCAGCGGTATGATGTTGCAGCGTGGTGTGGCCATGGCCCTTCATGGTTGTCGCGTTGCGATATTGGGCATTATTGAAAGCGTATCTGGAGGGCCTAATGGACTTCTGGACAACCTTTTGGAGGCCTTTTGGAGGTATTGGGGCTGTCGTGCGCGGCATCGCTTAAGCAAACTTTATCGAAGAGGATCACTGTAATAATAATGTGTTGGCCGTTTGGTCAGGTAGTGGATCGTCTTGGAGCCCTGTTGGGGTTGTCTTGGGCCGTCTTGGGCCTGGGTCCTGAGTCGGTTTGGGCCCGTCTTGGGCTGTCTCGGCGGCCAGGCTGTTACGTGGCGCTCTGAAGTCTTTTTGGGAACACCATCGGCTGAAAAGTTGTCGTGCCTCCTGGGACCCCGCTGGAAGGCTTTTTGATGGTCTTCGTGGCATCGCGCCATTGGGTGCCGAGCTGATTGTAAAGGGGGGCTGTGCTCGCAGAACACCCTCCCGTTCAAAGGGGGGGTAGAATTTCGGACCCCCCCCTTCAAGAGTGGGGGGGATCTCGGACCCCCCCCCCCGCCCCGTCAAAGGGGGGAGGGGGGTTCCGGACCCCCCCAACTTTGCGCTGGAAAGGGGAGGGGGCGATTTCCGATCCCCCCCCCTCCTCCCTATGCGCCAGACACGGGGTTGGGGAGGGAGCCTCTCCCGCATTTCTTTTCTGCGCCAGCGGAGGTGGATAGTGAGTAGTGCGTCGGGAGTAGGGAGTAGGGACTAGGGACTAGTGAGTAGTGAGTAGTGAGTGAGTAGTGAAAAGTGCGTAGGGAGTTGCGAGCAGCGAGCAGTGAGTAGGGATTAAGAGAATAGCGAGTAGTGAGTAGGGAGTAGTGATGTGCGAGGAGCGAGTAGGGAGTGAGGGAGTAGGGACTAGGGACTAGGGAGCAGCGAGTAATGAGTAGTGACTGGTGGATAGGGATGAGTTGGTACTGAGGAGTGAGTAGTGAATCGTGAGTAGTGAGCAGTGGGTAGCGAGTAGGGAGTAGGGAGTAGTGAGTAGTGAGCGGGAAGTAGTGAGTAGCGAGTACCGACTGGTCAGTGGTGAGTAGTGAGTAATGAGTAGTCAGTAGGAACTCGCGGGTAGTTAGTAGCGAGTTGTGAGTAGTGGGTGGTGGGTAGTGAGTAGTGAGTATTGAGCAGCGAGTAGGAAGTAGGGGTTAGTGAGTGGTCAAGTTAGCCTGCTCGAACGAGCCAGAGGGTTCCGTCCACTCCCCACCCGCCCTCCCACAACATAAGAAGCAAGTGCGTCGCGTCGGACGCCTGTCGCTCATCTTATATCGTGGGCGGGTAGACGTTCAGCGCGCGACATGAGCTGCGTCCTATTCCTGCCGCGTATTGAGCAACGTCGACGCGAAACAAGGCCGCTCGCGATGTACGCCGCGCCCCGCTCCGGCCTCTGATGTTGCATCGTCGGCGACAACATGTCCAGCGCGCGAAGTGCGCCGCGTCTCATTCCAGCCACGCGTGTTGCACCGCCAATCGTTTCGCTCCTGCTGCGCATGGAGGAGGGGGAGGAGGAGGAGGAGGAGGAGGAGGAGGAGGAGGAGGAGGAGGAGGAGGAGGAGGAGGAGGAGGGGAGAGAGAGAGAGAGGGAGGGAGGGAGAAACTGATGAGAAAGAGGAGAAAGCCTCCTGGGAGTTCGCGGGGCGTCCTGAGAGCTTTCTGGTATACGCATGAGGGCCTCTTGGATAGATCTTCCGGGTTGGAACATTGTCAACACAAGTAGGTGCCAACCTCACAATCCTTCAAACACCAAATGGAAGAGAAGAAAAAAAAAACAAAAAGAAACAAAAACAAAAACAAAAAAAAAAAAAAAAACCCTGGACGCCTTTTTTCGACCTCTCTGGGGTCTCCTGAGCACTTGCTTGAAACGCACTTGCTTGAGGCATTCTGATTGCCGCCCGCCCAGCTCCTCAACCCGACGGGCCGCAGCGTCTACGACAAGAAAGCTTATGTTGACGAACAGGCGTCCCCGGGCGGTGTGCGCCGCGTCCCAGTCCCGCCACGCGATTCACAGCGCCGACGAGGAGAAAGTACACGTTGGCGAAAAAAACGTCGACGTTGCGGTGTTTTTTTGACAAGTAGGACGAGGGGTTTTGCGCAGGGTTGGCCAGGCGTCCGCGCGCGATGTGCGCCGCGTCCCATTCGTGCTACATTTTTCGCAGCGCTGACGACAAGAAAGTCCACGTTGACCGGGAGAAACGTTGACTTTGTATTTTTTGGATGGGTAGGACGCGACCACCCGCTTAGGGCCTCCCAAGCGAGGTCCAATTCGTCCCATTCCCGTTACACTTTTCGCAACTCGACGACATGTTGGCGACCAAAAAATTGAGTTTGTGTTGCTCTTTGACAGTTAGGACGGCGGGGCTGCTATCGGCCAGCTCGGTGGGGACGTAGGGGTGTTCCATCACAAGAAGTAAAGATGAATGGTGAGTTATGGGTGGCTAGTAGGGAGTAGTGAGAAGGGAGTAGCGGACAGTGGGTAGTGCCGAGGGAGTAGTGAGTAGGGTGTCCGGAGCTGCGAGTAGGGATCAGGGCGTAGTGAGTAAAGAGTATGGGTAGTGAGTACGGAGTATTGAGTAAGGAATCGGGAGTACTGAGTTGGGAATACTGGGTAGTGAGTAGTGGTCCTGAGTAGTGAGCAGTCAGTAGTGGGTAGTGAGCAGTGAGTAGCGTGTAGCGAGTAGGGAGTAGGGGGTAGTGAGTGGTGTGTGGTGAATAGTGAGTACGGAGTAGCGAGTAGTCGGTAGTGAGTCGGGTAAAGGGAGCAGCGACCAGTGAGCAGTGGGTAGGGAGTTGGGAGCAGCGAGCAGTGCGTAGTGAATAGTGGGTAGTGTGTAGAGGGTAGCGGGTAGTAAGTAGTGGGTGATGATTAGTGAGTAGGGGCAGAGTGTAGGGATTCGGATTCGGGGTTTGGGTTGGGGTTGGATTTTCGGTTGAGGTTGAGGTTTTCGTGTGAAGGTTAGGGGCTAGGATTAGGGTTAGGGGTTAAGGTTGAGTGGTAGGGATCAGGCTCCAGAGCCAGAAGGCAGCGTGGCGAAGGGGGGAGGGGGGCGGGATCCGAATGTCGAGTCCAAACAGGGGCGGGGTCCGGACCCCCCCCCCCTCGCCCCCCTTTGGCCCCCCTGTTGACAGGGGGGGGGTCCGCCGACGACGGACTGGGAAAGGGAGGAAGGGGGGGTCCGCCGACGACGGATCGGGAAAGCAAGGGGGGATTCCGCCGACGACGGACTGGGGAAAGTGGGGGGGGTCCTGGATCCCCGCCCCAGGGGCATCCCGCGGTGCGCCCTCGGCCTTTGTGGGGCATCATGGGCATCTGAGAAGAAATTGGGGACGTCTCGTTGCCCTTGGACTTTCTTAGGGCTGTCCTGGGCGAGTCTTGGCGCATCTCGCAGCCAGCTTGCCTTCCGCATGGAATGTTGCAAAGCCGTTTTTGGAATGTGAAGAGCATTGGGGAGCGAGACGTGGAGGTGGGAGTCACAGTTACACGTAGCGAGGAGGGACGTTTGTGGAAATGACAAGGAAAAACGACCAGGCGGCCAAAGGGCATTCTAACACTCCCCGAGGTGCAGAGGGTGCGGTGGCGGATTTGCTGAGGCGGCGTTGCCCCCAAACCCAGCGCCCATAGCCGTCGCAAGAAATGAGACCAACGCACATTGGAGCAGAGGTGAGCAGCACAGGATGGACGAGCATGGGGCCAAGAGCGTATGTGGAAGCATTGGCATACTGCTACTTGCCATGTTGCACGGCCTTATATCTGTTCACACGTATGCATGGGCACTTGATCAGCATGCCGCGGATGTATCAACGGACGGATGCGACCGTGGCCGTGCCATGGTGCATGTGTGTGTTGCCTCGCGATTGCACGATGGGACTTCAGCGTATTGACCGAGTTGGCGTCGCAGGCTACTGGCATCAACGCAATTGGGCGGTGTTCAACTCTTCCGGCCACGATCACGTTCCGTGTGTGGGCATGAGAAATTCCGTTGCTTAAGATTCTACTCAGAAGTCAATTGTACATCCCGTCGTTCGGGTTTGTGCTGGAGCAGCATGACTCATGCAATTGTTGGACATACGCACGGCCATCCCACGGTTAATGACAACGAGTTTAGAACGAGCATGGAGACGTTGATCGCTGCGTTGCATACGGAAACGGAATCGATTAGCCGTCCGATTCGGAATGTGTTCGGCTTGGTTTCCCTAGCAGGGTTTGCACTAAGGGCTTCTTTACATGAATGAACTTAGTAAACTACTGAATGATTGGCTAGCTCGTTCGGGTTATCCCTGCTAGCCGCCCGTCGCCGCCTCGCTGCGCCCTCGTGCCCTGGCTGGCGCTTCGGGGCTTTCGCCCAGTAGCTTCCCGTCGCCGCCACGTGCGCTGGCTGGCGTTTCCCTTTTGCCGTGTGGCCGCCCGTCACCGCTTCGTCGCCGCCCCGTGCGCCAGCTGGCGGTTCTGGGTGTTGGCCCGATGGCCATCCGCCGCCGCCCGGTGGGCGACAGGACGTTCCCCAAACAGGGCTTGCACAAGTGGGTTCTTAGGTCGGGTCTCCTGGGCCTGTGAGTAGTCGGCTTGCGGCTGAGTGTTCGGCCGGTGAGCGCAGGTGCCCGCCCTGGGCGGGCGGTTCCAGATCTTCGCCCGATGGGCGCCCGTGCTTGCCACGCCCATTTCGTGCGTTGGCTGGTGATTTCAAACATTCGGCCACTGGGCCCCCGTGCCCGCTTCTTGCCCGCCCCGTGCGCTAGCCGGCGGTTCTGGGTTTTCGACCCGTTCCTGGGTGTGCCCGCCTCGGGCGTTGGCTCGCGTTTCCAGGTGCACACATGGCTTGAACCACAAAATTTACACCATAAGCATTCTCCGTTCAAAAGGAGAGTAGATTCTACCACCCTCCCCCCTGGATTATCGACCCCCTCTGGGACATTGCAAATTACATGTGTTCCTGCCTCGTCGCTCATTTTCCTGATGGATCCATACCATCCCTGGGCAACCAGTATTGACCTCCCCCTCACCCCTGTCAAATATTACCGTGCGCACACACCGATTTATCACAAGAAGGTCATGATGTTTAGAATCATTTGCCAAAAATGGCACGAACCCCACGCGCGCGCACATGTCGAAATCATACCGAACACACAAGGGGCACGCATTTCACCATACAAAATACAGAGCCCAGGTTGTTACATCACTAGTATTGTAGATGTTCTGCCACCGCGCACTTGCTGAAAGTAAAGATGTAAATATAGAAGTAGATGTATATATGTATACACGCAATGAATTTGGCAACATGGTCCACAACCCGTGCTCTCATTGCACCACGCGGTGGATCTGCGTTGATCCAGCAAGCGCCCAGTAGACGAATCCAGATCAAAGAATGCCATGTGGGCCACGCGCGCGTGTCGAAATCCTTCCAAAAACCATTGGATCTCGAATCGTTTCAAGATGGAGTTGTTCAAAATCATCATATCCTTGCGAAGGGTCCAATGATATGCAGTCGTGAGTACCGCGTTGTGGGTATTGCTTTCGGTGGAGCTCCTTCTGGGGCTACTTTGCGTGTGAACGGTGTGCCGACATGGGTGCGGTGGAGCCATGCGAACGCAGCCGTTGGGGCTTTCAGTGGAGCACTGTTTGGGGCCACGGAACGCGTGAGGGGTGTGCCGAAGTAGGATGGGTGCGGCGGTGCCATGCGAACGCAGCCATTCGGGCCCTCGGTGGAGCTCCATATGGGGCCACGAAACGTGTGAGGGGTGTGCCGCAACGGGCGTGGTGGTGCCATGCGAACGCAGCCATTGGGGCCTTCGGTGGAGCTCCTCATGGGGCCACGTAAAGTCTGAAATGTGGATGGGGTGTGCCGATACGGTCGCGGTGGTGCCATGCGAACGTAGCCATTGGAGCGTTCCGTGGAGCTACGTATGACGCCACGGAACGTGTGAGGTGTTCGCCAGCATGGGTGCGGTGGTGCCATGTGAACGCAGCCATTCGGGCTCTCTGTGGAGCTGTTTATGGGGCCACGAAACGTGTGAGAGTTGTACCAAAATGAGCGCTGGATTGCAATGCGAGCGCAGCCATTTGGGCCTGCGGTGGAGCTCCTTGTGGTGCCACGAAATGTGTGATGGATGTGCCGACATCGGCGCGGTGGATCCATGCGAACGCAGCCATTGGGGCCCTCGTTGGGGCTACCTATGGGGCCACGAAGCGTGTAAGGGGTGCGCAATAATGAGCGCGATGGCGCCATGCGATCGCAGCCATTGGAACCTTCGGTGGAGTTCTCTCTCTCTCTCTCTCTCTCGCTGTCTCTCTCTCTCTCTCTCTTGTTTTCTCTCTCTCTCTCTCTGTCTCTCGTTTTCTCTCTCTCTCTCTCTCTCTCTCTCTCTCTCTCTATTTATGTATATATATATATCATTTTCTCTCTCTCTCTTTCTCTCTCGCTCTCTCTCTCTCTCTATATATATATATATATATATATATAGATATAGATATATATATATATATATATTATATATATATATCTCTTTGTCATTTGTTTGTTCTCTCTCTCTCTCTCTGTGTGTATACATATATGCTCTCTCTCTCTCTATCTCTCTATCTCTCTCCATGGGACCACGAGACGTGTGAGGGGTGTGCCGACATAGGCGCGGCGATGTTATGCGAACGCAGCCGCTGTGGCCTTCGGTAGAGCTCCCCATGAGGCCACGACACGTGTGAGGGGTCTGCCGAAATGGGCGCGGTGGCGCCATGCGAACGCAGCCACTGGAGCCTTCGGTGGAGCTCCATGTGGAATGGGCGTGGTGGTGCCATGCGAACGAAGCCACTGGGGCCTTGGTGGAGCTGCCTATGGGGCCACGAAACGTGTGAGGAGTGTGCCGACACGGGCCTGGTGGTCCTATGCGGACGCAGCCGTTGAGGCCCTCAGCGGGGACGCTGCCAAAATTGGCGCGGTGGCGCCCTGCGACACAGCCATTGGGGCCTTCGGTGAAGCTCTGTATGGGGCCACGAAACGCGTGAGGGGAGTGCCGACATGGGCGCGGCGGCGCATGCGAACGCAGCCATTGGAGCCTTCGGTGAAGCTCCCTATGTTGTGCGGGGTGTGCCGAAACAAAGACATGCTGAGGGCAGAGGCAGTGTTTGGAGGAGGGGGAGGCGGAGAGAAGAGGAGACGCCGGGTGGTCGGGGAGTAAAACCGTGTGTTTTGCCAACAGAAAGTCTGCCAGGCTTCTTGCAGTTCTGTGTGCGCCATTTCTCACCGTCACCTTCATCAGCGCCGCCGCATCACGCCATCGTCATCGACGATCGCCGCAATTGCCGCCATCATCACCCAAGAACCCTCATCACTGGCACATGAAATATCATCATCGTCATCGTTGTCACCAGCATCGGTGCCGTCATTGGCCTTGCTGTCGTCAAAAATATCACCGCTACTATCATCGTTTCCGCCGATGTCGGCATCATCATGCTACCGCGCCCGCCCAAATCACCGACCCGCATTGGAGCGCCCGCTCGCCAGCACGACTTTGAGACGCGCAGGGCAATTCTCACCGATGAGTGTCGTGGGGCCGCATCAACTGTGCCAAACCAGCTGGCCGCTTTGCGGGCGAGCGCGCGCGCCAGCGCGGCCGCAGAGATGCGCCAGCCACTGCCAAGCAGTTACCACAATCACAGCCGCATGGATTTTTGCAAAACGCGTCCAGGTGGGAGGATGGAAGTTTACGCGAGCAGTGGAGTCGTGAATTCATTATTGTCTTGGTTGGTTGCACCCACATACATTGCACTACATAAATGTCCATTCAAGTTGCATTAAATTGCTTGCACCCCATGGATTGCACCAATGATCTTGTCCCTCATAGCACGCACTGCATTTCACTGCCCCACATTGTGCACCCCACAGCTACAACGAACCGTCAAGAATTGAAAAATGCAAGCAGGAGGTTGCTAGTCACTTCCCCTGTGAAAGGCCATGAGCACATGACTGCGGCGTTGCGTTTACGCCTATCCGAAACATTAGTGTTGCCTACCCGAGAGATGTCGCCTCTTCGCCCGCAGCAGTGGAAATGTTCGTATACGTTGTACGTTGGGACTCGTACGTACAAGTCGCTTTGCCCACGGCAGTCGTACATGTATTCGCGTCAAGTGTGCGACCGGCAATTTCAGACGAATGCCTAGACTGACAAGCGTTCGGATTTCTGCCATCCTTCCCGCCAAACAGTACGTGGTCCCAGTTGCGGAGAAGAGTGAGGGGGCGGCGAGGGCGGCGGCAGCCTGCGAGGCTCTGGAGAAACCCCTTGTCGCTGCTGTTTTTCTTACAAAGTATACACAACGAGCTCGCCGCAGGCGCCGATTCTTTTGTCAAAGCAAAGCGGGTGGGTCGGGGGATCGGTCGCGGGCGGGTCGCGGGCGATGTCGACGGCAACAACAACAACAACAACGCAACAACAATCGGCACCGCGGAACCCCACCTCAACCACGCGCCTCAGGACAATGAACGTCCGCTCTGCTCCCTCATTATGATATACATATAAGATATGGGATACATTGTCGAATGTTACATTGTATATCTATATATACACGTAAACATACATGTACCGGCTAAAATGCGGTTATTGTAACCGGAACATGTA